ATATGCTAGAGAATGTCATTGAATTAAATGTCAACGCGATTAAAAATTNGAGAGAGTAATTCATTTAAATATATGCTTGAAAAAAATATACTTATCAACATTATATATGTGCATATATCATTGTATGTATATTATAAATATATGTGTTTGTGTGCGTGCGTGTCTATAAAAAGTTTGCAAAGGGCATTATTGATATCTCTTGAGAAAAATAGTTAGCCCTGCAAAGTGTTGAACCGTATTTGATCGGGGATGAAGAAATTTTTGCTGGTCTTCCTAGCTCTCGCTGTTCTAGTGCAGATATGTTTGTTGTATACTTTATTAGATTCATTATTTATTTATATTAGTTTCATATGAATGCGATTTACGCTTACCTACTGGTATAACTTTCGTGTGGATGGGTTCTACGTTTACTTACTGAATAACTATTTCAAATGAATGTGTTTTATATTCATATTAACTGAATGATTGCTGATTGATCCGCACGGGAAAGTTTATTTTTTGAAATATTTAGAAATTGAAATATTTTAATAATCTTTTGCAGCTTCATGTGGAATTATCAAGGATGGTTGGCCGTTTTCTGGTTGTAGGAAGGTCCTTTGCAGAATGTTCTGTATGAGTGGCTACAAAATAGTGGATGGGTGCGAGGTCTGCCAATGCAATATTGATGAGGAGTTTTTTCTCAATTGAATTGTTGGCAAAAGAAAGTGCATGTTGAAGATGGTTTCTTTGTTATCAATTGTCATCATCTAAAAGTTTTCTAATTGAAATGCCGTTTGAAATTATCAATATTTAATTTCAAGAAAAACACATAACGCATAATTTTAATAGAATCTGATTTTATCAAACTAGTTCTGATGAATTTGAAATGTCTTTGGGTTTGTTGAATCAAACGTTTGCCAAAGATTTTCAAGTGTATTTATGAGAATGGATGAATCATGAATTATACCAGAGATTTAGTTGAGTTAGAAATTTAAGTTTGAATTTATTGAACTTATCGAAATAAAAAATATATAATGTTTTCATCATTCTCCACGATTGCACTCCTTATTGGCATTGCCGCGCTGATACACTTGTTTGGTGTTTTAAATGTATATTAATCTTATTTCTAACCTTGGAAAGTAAAAATTCTTTTGATAAAGATGTGTTAACGACATGATTGTTATTCTAAGTATATAATGTCTATTGCAAAACATAGTCAAAAAGATGAAAGCCCTACATTTTCTATCTAATTTTTTGTTGAAACAAATTCAAGAAAACATTCCAAGAGAAATTACTAGCTTTTTGCTATGACATACACATTTTGATGTACAATGGTTCGGTTTAAGCCATACACGAATGCAGTACATATTCTGAACTTGAATAAATTTAAAATTCAATGGTATACCATTGAATATTTAACTCATTGGTTCACCACTGAATTATATATGCAGAAAGTAGAATAATCGACTAATAAACTGAAATTTTTTTTATTCGCAAGAAAACCCGGCTAAATGAACAAGGCCACAGAAAATTAAGCCATTTATTATATTTTATTAAAGGATAGAAAAAATATATTATTTATATTATGTATTATAAAAATTTACATTTTTTTCTAAAGATCATATTTGTTATCAAATTTAAAATATAATGATATATATACAAATATACAAACATATATATATATATATAATTCTAAATATATGTGTATATATTAAATAATATATATCAAAATTGTTATCGTCATTTACAAATTCAAATAAAGCGCATTTTACCGCTTAAAATGCGCTTGCGAAAACGCTCCATGTCTAAAAATAGAAACTCTTCTCAGGACGCTTGGCACCGAACGTAGTTTTGTGAGGGCACGCCTGACGCCAATGATTTTCTCAAGAAGAATTTGGTATTTGATGCTTTTTTTTATATAAAATTATCTTGAGAAACTTATTGCAAATTCAATTTTCATGATTTATTATAGTTTGTTAATAAAAATTTTGCCGATTTTAGCTTGTAGTAGTTAAATAAGTTTTAGTCTTCGACATGAGCGTCAGTCGCCATTTTGTCAAACTAAGTCTTGACGACTAGTATCGATATATTTTTCATTGAATGTGATTCATAAATAAAATTTTATGACTTTAAGTTTGTATTTAGAGCATTTGAGACTTTCAGCAGCAGTTTATTTGTATTTGGCGACTTTTGCCGAGCTGATTCATTAAAATTCGCTACGGCGATATATAAATTATATTATAAGGTTTTAAAATTCGATAATGAAAATTAGTTTTTTAGTATTATGATTATGCTTCTTAAAATTCTATTTTTATAAGATTTGAGTTAGCAATCCATATTGTACAATAACGTGCAACATGAATTTTAGCTTTTTTAAAGTTTAATTAAACTCTAACTAAAGTACTAAACCCAACACCATTTTCATGTTTTCAGTGTAATGGCGCTACAAATAAAAACGGAAACTGCGACGTCTGCTCGACAATCTATTATTTATTTCAATCCATTATTTTAAGTTCTCTTTCCAGCCTAATGTTCAAACAAAAAGCAAATGGCTAAACTAAACTAAATGTTAAGCTAAACTTATTGACAAAGAAAAGTTGTAAGGCATTCAGCAATTTTTACTAGTATTTTGAAAAAATGTGAACTTTTTCATGAATTCTTACTCTAGTGAATAAAAAAGAAAAAAAGTTTGTTTGCAAAGAAATATTTTTCACTTCAATTAATATTATCATCTAATAGTCTAATACAGAGTACATAGACATGCATAATCAAGTCTTGAGAAGAAACAATACATAGCTTTTGAATTGCTTATTAATGATTTAAATTTAAACAAACATCTTCTTGACTCATAATTTAACTGGATTTAAAAGTAAAATTAAATATATAATTCAACTTGTAACTATTTTAAACTCATCTTTCTATCATTTTCATTTTTTTTGGCTTTGTAGTTGCCATAAGATTAGTCCTTTAATAGTTCCTTTAACATTTAACTTAACAGTTCATTTGGCGGATTTTCATGATCTGGCGCTGCAGCTAAAACCTGAATCATCTTTGCTACAACTTCAAGTTCCACTGTAAGTTATATGTCTAATTTATTAATTTGTATTGTTTAATAATAATAATATTATTAGAATTATTACAATACTTTTGTCACTACTATTGTTAGTACTACCAATACTACTACTACTGCTACTTGATTTCATTTGTACCCGTAGCTCAGTGCTAGGTGTCAGAATGCCTAGGATGAGTTCCACTTCAAATGCTTTTCAAAGAGATGAGGATTTGGTTGCTGTCGAATGGTATGTTTTGTTTGTGAATTTGGATGTTATTTTGAGCAAAAAAATGATAATTACAGGTTAATTTTATGAATGATAATTTTGTGTTGTTCCAAGAATATGTGTGTATTAATTTATAATTATGAATTGGACAATATCAATATAATATTAATAATTCCTGGAGACTTATGGTCATTTCAAAACGTCTATTAATCAGCTCCTTTCATCTAATTTCTTCATTTGTGGATTGTCTTGTCTTACTTATTTAGTTATCATTTGGAAAAGATTTCTGATGAATTTTATTAGTTTTCGTTATTTTGAATTTGGGTTCCATTTGCATGATAGTAGTTAAGGGGGTCAGCACATGCATTAGTTTCTTCATTCCCTGCACTTTTTGCAAAATTCAAAATATATTGAATTCAGTTTTCTCTAGAATAATGAAGATAGGAATGAAGAAGATGATGGAGAAGACACGTAAGTGAAGAAGAGGAAGAGGACACACAGATAAAGAAATAGCCGGTGGTGGTGGGGGTTTGGGCTTAGTAAGTTTAATGTCTTTTTGTACGTTGATTGTTGTACTAGCGAATTGTTGGTTTATTGAAAAAATGAATTGTATAATATTATTTTTATTGTTAATTTTTCAGAGAATTATATAGATTTGCACAAATTAGTAGTTGTTATATATAATTATATAAAATTATATAGATTTGCTCGGTTTTATAGATTTGCCTGGTTTTATAGATTTGCCCAGTTATATAGATTTGCTCGGTTATATAGATTTGCTCGGTTATATAGATTTGCTCGGCTATATAGATTTTCTCGGCTATATAGATTTGCTCGGCTATATAGATTTGCTCGGCTATATAGATTTGCGCGTTTATATAGGTTTGCGCGTTTATATAGACTTGCCGGTTATATAGATTTGCTCGGTTTTATAGATTTGCCCGGTTTTATAGATTTGCCCGGTTTTATAGATTTGCTCAGTTATATAGATTTGCGCGTTTATATAGATTTGCTCGGTTATATAGATTTGCGCGTTTATATAGATTTGCTCGGTTATATAGATTTGCTCGGTTATATAGATTTGCTCGGCTATATAGATTTTCTCGGCTATATAGATTTGCTCGGCTATATAGATTTGCGCGTTTATATAGGTTTGCGCGTTTATATAGACTTGCCGGTTATATAGATTTGCGCGTTTATATAGATTTGCTCGGTTATATAGATTTGCTCGGTTATATAGATTTGCGCGTTTGTATAGATTTGCCCGGTTATATAGATTTGCTCGGTTATATAGATTTGCTCGGCTATATAGATTTGCTCGGCTATATATGTTTGCCCGGTTATATAGATTTGCGCGTTTATATAGATTTGCTCGGTTATATAGATTTGCTCGGTTATATAGATTTGCCCGGTTATATAGATTTGCCCGGTTATATAGATTTACTCGGTTATATACATGGTTATATAGATTTGCGCATTTATATAAAGTTATATAGTTTAGTGCGATTATATAAAGTCGCTCGGTTATATAAATTTATATAGAGTTGCGCGGTTATATAAATTTATATACAGTTGTTAGATTAGTTAAAAATATTTGTTACTTTTGGCTTGTTATTTATTATTTCTAAATATTCGTTACTTGTTATTACTATGCTTTGGCTTGTTATTTATTATTTCTAGATATTCGTTACTTATTATTACTAAGAAGATGAAGGACACAGGATGGACACACAGATGAAGATAAAAACTTTATTTGGGGGGAGCCTGGGCCATAGTTGCGTGTATTTTTGTTTAGTAGCGAGTTTTTGTTTGATTGAAAAACAAGAATTGTATTATACTAACATTAATAAAATTCCCTAGGATGAAGAAGATGAAGGACACAGGATGGACACAAAAATGAAGATAAAGACTGTGTTTGGGGGGAGCCTGGGCCTTGGTTAGTTACCTGTATTTTTGTTTTGTTTTTATTGCTTGGTAGCGGTTTTTTAGTTTTATTGAAAGAGATTTTTTGTACTAACATTAATAACATAGGCTGAAGAAGATGAAGGACACAGGGTGGATACACAGATGAAGATAAAGACTTTGTTTGGGGGGAGCCTGGGCCATGGTTAGTTGCGTGTATTTTTGTTTAATAGCGAATTTTTTGTTTGATTGAAAAACATGAATTGTATTATACTAACATTAATAACATTCCCTAGGCTGAAGAAGATGAAGGACACATGGTGGATACACAGATAAAGATAAAGACTTTGTTTGGGGGGAGCCTGGGCCATGGTTAGTTGCGTGTATTTTTGTTTAGTAGCAAATTTTTTGTTTGATTGAAAAACATGAATTGTATTTTACTAACATCAATAACATTCCCTCGGCTGAGGAAGATGAAGAACACAGGTTGGACACACAGATAAAGAGGTTGTCGGGGGGAGTCTTTGTCCTCGTTAGTATGGTGGATTTGTATTTTGTTGTCGTTTGTTTTTTGTTTAGCCACGTTTTGTTTGTTTGATTGAAAAACATGAATCATAGTATACTGATATCAATAACGTCCTAGGCTGAAGAAGATGAAAAAAACGAGGAATGACAATTTTTCGCACAATGCTACGATCCTCAACATCCATGTCATGCTCTCGTTACCCAAGAACATCCACCTCGGGTAATGAAAGAAAACCACGCTGACGTCGAAATGGATCTAAACAGTACAACTCGTCATGCCGATGTTCGAAAGCTGTACTACACTAAAAGCTGCTTGATGTTCATTACATGGCATGGCTGTCAAGTCCGCCATAGAGTCATACCATGCCCCTGTGTTACACAATAGATGGCCTCCACCAATGCCCTCAATAGATGGCTCAGAAAAAACTTTTGCCCAAGCAACAAGAAGAACTCTGGTTCAACTTCAATCTGGCCATTGTTTCTTCCTCGGCAGCTACTAGAGAAAAATCCACAGCGGCATAGACACTAACTGCCTTCACTGGCTTTCGCATGTGGACGACGTTCCCTATTGTTTCATCTGGCCAGCAACTTTAACGATTCTCACCGCAATAGACTTGTGGCGAAACCCGACGGCGATCGCTAATTGGCTCAAGCCTCGTCTGAACCTTATGGAAATTGTCTGAAGGAGCAACAACAACAACGAAGAAGGGCACAAGATAGACACAGAGATGAGGATAAAGACAGTAACGGGGGGAGCCTGGGCCCGGTTAGTTGGGTTGGGTGGAATTGTGGTGGTTTGTTTTTTGTTTAGTCGCAAATTGTTTGTTTGATTGAAAAACATGAATTTTTATAATACCAACATTAATAACGTTCGCTAAGCTGAAGAAAATGAAGAAGAGGAAGGACCTCGAAGGAACACAGATAAAAACGGTGTTAAGAAGTCTGCACCCGGGTTAGATGGCTGTTATTAGTATGTATGAGCTTATGTAAATCATATAAAATCATATAAAACCTTCTATTAAGCATATAAGTCTATTTAACTATATATATATATATATATATATAGCATATATAATTACATATAACTAATATAACCATATATAAAATGTACAGCGTCCATGAGCGTATATAATGAATATACAAGTTGATATAACACATATTTTAATATATATATAATACAAAGCATACACAACTATGTAGAGCGTATATATCTCTTATATATGACATTAGCTTATAAAAAAAAAGGTATATAACTATTCGACGTGTGTGAATACATATATATATATATATAATACAAACCATACATAACTATGTAGAGCGTATATATCTCTTATATATGACATTAGCTTATAAAAAAAGGTATATAACTGTATTCGACGTGTGTGAATACATATATATATATATATATATATATATATATATAATATATATATATATATTATATATATATATTAAAGCATTTATGAACATTATAAAGCATAAATAAGTTTGTATGGAGCATATAAAAAGTATATGTGCCTGTTTTAAGCATACAAGAAGCGCATTTATACTTTATATAAGCCTTTTAGAACAAATATTAGTATATAAAGCATTATATATATTTATATATACCTATAAGACCATAAAATTAGCTTTTTTGGGGAAAATTGCCATCACTAGTGTGAAATGAAATACAGTTTAAAATACATTTGTAAATATTGTGATTATAGTAACCAAATGCCAAAAGTCAAATTAAGTGTTAACGGATAAAATTTAGAAGTAATGTTTACATAAGTTAATTAAAATGGATTTTAAGCTTATATATTAAGATGATAGATTAAATTATTTATAATATAATTAATAAATAAATTATATATATATATACACAAAATTTCAAAGTTTTGATCACATGACTCCATTTATTAAGGATTTGCACTAGTTAGTGATTTTAATATATATATATATATATATATAATATAATATAATAAATGTATATATATATATAATATAATATATGTATATATAATATATATATTAAGACTGTCAGAAATGCAATTATTGATTAAAATCACAGCATGTTCGACGTTAGTTTTAAGTTCATGTTCCAGTCAATCTCTAACGCCTAACATCTAACAAATATCTAACGCGAAACATGCTGTAATTTTCATCAATAATATATATATATATATAATTTTGTAATTTATATATAAATTATAATTATACAAATTGAAATATAAGTGTTAATATTATATTTTATACAATCAATTATCATAAGTATTAAAAAATTATATATATATATATATATATATATATATATATATATATAACACTTGTAAGCTTAAATAAAACTGCATATGCTTCATGTATATATATTCGTACATAGTTGTGCCCAAAGAAAATAATACTAATTTCATGGCAATTGTATATGAATGATAATATTGTGCTCGTTCAAGGATGCATGTGTTGTAATCTATAAATTTGAATTGTAAAATATTATTATATTGATATTTCTTAAGATGCAAAGATGATGCAAAAGATTATGAAGAAAAAAAAGAGGAGGAGGAAGATTGAAAAGATAAGTTTTCGTGAATTGAATGTATTAATTGTGATTTCTTTTTTCTGACATGTTAATTGTGTTGATTTGTGTGAATTTGCGAATGTAGTTGCTTCTGCTGATTTTATAAATGATATTTGATAATTGCAAAAATTATTTCAAAGTTTTCTTAGTTCAATTTTTCGTAGTTTGTTTCTTTGCAGTTTTAGCTTTACTAACACTTGTGTTTAATATGATTACATCATTATAATTCACTCACACATATGTACACAACATGCATTACTCGTCAACTGTGTTTTTGCTTTGTTTTTATGTTTTGTGTTTTTTTCTATTGTCATTCTTACTCTTAGGGAAAACTGAGCTTTTAGGTAAGCTAATTGAATATAAGTAAGATGAGTTTCAATCAATTGTTTATAAGTAGGTTAGGGTTTTAGTGCAATCAATTGATTATAAGTAGTTGAGGATCAGATCTTTTTTCTATTTCTTGTTTCTCTTTCTAGTTACTTTGTTTTGCTGTTATCTTTTTGTGTTTGTGTTTCACGCATCACATCAATTCACCCAAGACATTCATTTATTTGTTAATCTAGATTATTATTTATTTATTTAGTTGTTTCTTTATTTGTTTTCTAATTTTATCTATTACCATTTATATTTTTAGATTTATGGATGAATGTTAGTTATTGTAAGATTTATATAGGCAAACTGATTGTTGTTTTATGCATGTCACATTTGTCATTTATGGATATGAATAGTACAGTTTAATTTATTTTATTAATTTATGATTATTAAATGAAATGTATTATAATATTAGTATTAATAATATTTCAGAAGCTAAAAAGATGAAAACGTTGGAAAAGATGAAAGACACACAGTGCCTGATTGACTATTCTTTTAATCATTTCACTTGTTTTGAGTACTTGCTATTTAAATGTTTTCATTAGTTTTATTCGTTGAATGTCCATGTGTGCTTATTATTTCATCTTGTTTTTTTTTACTTTGTAATTTTGCAATTTTTAAGTTTTTTGGCCTGATTATTAATTTGTTGTTAAATTATTATTAGTATATTGTTGACATTATTATTTCTGTTTGTTATTTTTTACTTTGTAATTTTGCAATTTTTAAGTTTTTTGACCTGATAATTAATTTGTTATTATTATATTATTGACATTTTATTATTTCATTTCGTTTTGTTATACTTTGTGATTTTGCAATTTTAAGTTTTTTGGCCTGATTCTTTGTTATATTAGTGTATTAATAACATTTAATATGTTATTGATATTTATATGTATTATGTATATTTTTGTATGTTATATTTATAAATATAAGCCTATAAGAACTGCACTGTATTTGAATTTTGTCGCTTTGTTTGTCGGTGTGCTAGTGTATTTTTTTCTAAGGGGTATATAATTTTACATTGTAGAGCCATAAATTAATGGTCCATCGCTAAAAATTTTTAAAAGTTAATTTCAGTTGAAGTCAAAATTTTCGTTTCTAGGTGGCACGCGTTTTTCGTTTTGATCGCGAAATGGATTAAGCAAAATGTCGTTTGAATAGTTGGTTTTTGCGATTATTTATAACAGTCTTTAGTAAATTTTCATGTTTCACCACTCTCGTCTAATCTTAATAAAGACGTTATGATACGGATCAAGAAATTTTTTGGTACCTTTCGGTTAGTTAGTTTAACATTTAACTTAAACTTAAAGTAAAAAAGATTAAAAGACTAACTTAAAATTTTTTAAGTTAAATTTTTTTTATTTTAGTCTAAAAATAAAGTTAAATTTTATTTAAAGTAGACGATAATAATCTAGAAATTATGCTGCAACATAAATTTTTTTGTGAGTAGAAAATGTTTATTTGTGATTTTTAACAGATAATCCACACAAAAATGACTACTATGATTGTATTTCGAAGGGAGATCCTGCGTCGGTGTGTGGCGCAGCTGTGCGTGCAACAAGGTTGGGATCGTGCAGAGCAGTCTGCTCTCAGGGTCCTGGCTCAAATTTTGGAAGCATATGTCTTCATGCTGGCTGGCAGTGCAAAAGTTTATACTGATCAATGTATTAGTCACAATTTGTCAATAACACTTTACATTCAGAATTCACAATTTACCCTTTTTAACACCTTTTTTTATCAATGTTTTTTGTAAATTTATTATTTTTACTTTGTTAGTTAAAAATAGTTAAAAATGTATTTGTTATTTTGCGTATGTATTGAATATTTCATTAATTGTTCATAGTACAATCATCTTTGCAGTTTCATCTTTTTAAAATTTCATCTTTGCATAGCATAATGTGGAATGTTATCCTAATATATCAATATAAGAACCTTCAATCTAGTATAAATAGAGCCATTACTTTTGCAACTTATTTTTTCTTTAGTTGAACAAACAGAACTGACTTTGAATAATTTGCATTTGGCATTTTTGAAATGCAACATCCAATTTGATCAGCTGAAAGAGTACTTTAAATTGAATGAACCTGTCACACTGCCACATGATGTCCCACATTTTCCAGCTCCCAGGTTTTGTACATGTAAGTAGCTTAATATATATTTCACTGAATGGTTGGTTGAATGGAGAATTTTTAATTAAATGTTTTTTAATTATGTTTTTCCTTCCAGAATAAACATAATTTTATTTTTTTCAGATATTTATTTAAAGTTTCGTAAAATTATTTAAAATTTTTAAAGTGAAGTGATTTTGAATATGAAATCATTTTCCAGCTCATGGGCTTGATGCTGCCAGAAAGTTTAGGTTCAATATTATTTCTCATCATGGGAGTTAATCATTTGTTTCAAAGTTTTAGCAAACCTATCATTATATTAATGGCAATTTTTTTTGACAGTTTGTGTTGTTTTGACATTGTTTTGACATTGACAACAATTTATAGTTATGTTGATAGTAATTTAATATTATCTACAATGCTTATTGATAGGAATTTCTATATTTGATGTCAAAACTATTTGCAACAATCTTTATTCCAAATAATGGGGCTGATGTAATTGTATCTAACATTCACTATCATCATGTAACTGAGATTCACCATCGTCATTTTAATAATTATTCAGAGAATTGCCGGCAGAAGCGTCAGCAAGTCAGTACAAGATGAGGAGCTTAAGCAGGTTAGCCCTGCAGTGTGGAGATTTCAAACCAAGCGTCCCAGGTAGGTCAGCAGGTCATAAACTTGACCCCAACAAACCCATTGACTACTATGGCACATGCATCTTTCGGAAACAATATCCACCTTTAACATTAACAATCAGTAGAAAAGTTTTTGAAGAATTTCTTACTGGCAAGAAGGTGATGAATGTTAATGAAGATGGTCCTACATGCAAAGATTATGACCATCATCCTGTCATTGAACGTCATCCTGTCAATATTTTGTCATCAAATCTAAAAGATATGAAAAAGTTTTCTCGGAAAAAGTTGAAACTCATTCCAGGTCTCATTCCTTCCTCTACATTCATTCCACATCCAACTTCACAAACACCTCAGCTAACATTCAAGCCATCAGCAGCAGCTAGTGGCATAGCAAAGATAGTGAAAGTGCAAAAAACAAGGGTAGAATTTACTTATTAAGACTTATTGATTCTACCGAATGAAACTTTTTTGATCTTTTACTTTTAGAAAACTCTTAAGATGATAGCTATCATTCTGATGGCTTGTTTAATACTGTTAACTCCGTGTAACTGTACACAGCTTTAGCTTTCCATTCATTCTTTTGTTTCATCATTCTCAAAAATTGACATAGATTTCAAATTTGCAATATTTTCGAATTTTCATTAAATTTTTTTTTCTCAACTGCAGATAACGAGATACAGGCGGTCATCATCCATTGGCAAGGTTACAATCAAACTTGGTGGCGTGAAACTATTCTGCTCATCGTACGTTAGTAACAGCACTGATGACAATGTTGCTAGAAGATCTCTTAATGAGAAAACATCTCAAGTTATTATTGGCGCAGATGACAATGCAGTCGGTGATTTAAGGAAAACTACTCCATCTTCACAGTATAAACAACAACCTATTAAAATATAATTCAGTTTTTTTACAGTATCATTTTAAATTTTACTAAAATTTGATGCCGCTTCAAGTAAGCTAACGAATTATTTCAAATGAGATGATACTTTACTACAACTGCAGGTATAATATCTTCAGTGACCAGAGGAAGTCTTCTGGTCATCTTGGCGTAAAGGTGAAGAAGACTACAAAGAGGACGCACGATGAGACTGATGTTACTGAAGTTCAAGACCCTCCTAAAAATGATGTTTCCTTTTTTTATTGTTCACACATAGTAGTTGATCTTTTGTTTGTATTTTAGTTGTTTGTTTCAATGTTTCAATCGAATTAAATTATATTTCCTCGATGAAATCTCGTTGATTGCTTCTTTATATTTTAATTGTTAAGCATGGTTTTCAAACTTCATTTACATTTCCAATACTTATTAATGCCTGATAAGTTTTACTTGCCATGCCAGGATGCGTCAGATCAGACAGCCATTTCAAAACTCGTTCTCAAAATTGGTGGCGTAGTTGTTGGGTCCAGGACAATCTGTAAGAGCTGCACTAGCGTTGCCGACAGCTGTGAAGTTAACAGAAAATTACTATCTCCGATTGTTAAACTTGTGAGAATTATGCCAGCCTCCTCACATAAGGAGCCTGTTAAAACGTTAATATAGCTTTAAAATATTAAATTTTCAATTCTTGACTATCTTTAGCAGCTGAAATTTATTCTGAGAAACTTTTTTCTTATGATGTAGTAAGCCAGATGGCGTTTCAAATACGTGGCTCAAACATCAAAGATATATAATGGTTTAATTTAGGACTATTATTATAAGTTTTTCTATACACTGAGAAACTCAACGTTTTAGCTTTGAGTAACTGCTGTTAGTTATGTTTTATAATTAAAATAATCGAATAATGACAACGAAGTCTAATGACATTAACAACAGAGCCGTCACATCCTTTGAAAATTCACCAAGCCTTTCCAAGCCTTACACAAATTCTCAAACCATTCAGCAGCAGCAATCCAGCAGATCCGTGCCACCAATCATCACTTCTCCATCTGCCAAACAAATGTTCAACTCCTCACCAATTACCATATCATCGTTGAGTAGTCTATCTCTGAATGGTCCATCTTCATTGGCTCTTAAATATGATGTCGCCTCAACAAGCTCCACATGCAAGCGGAAAATTAGGACATCGGATAAAAAGAATTGTTCCAACCCTGTTGAGGCACGCTGTAGCAGACGTAATGTTAAGGTCACGTCTGTTCCTTCTCATACACAATCAACACGTTCTTCCGCAAATCTAACACCACTGATCAGCAAGCAGTCAGCCAAAGAATGCAAGCAAAATGCAAGTAAAAAAACTAGGAGTTCAACGTTGGAAGGTTGTCTCACTCCACTTGGTTCGTTTTATAAACATACTGAGTTTCGTGTTACAGATTAACAAGTTATCAATTTGATATGACATTGTTAACGTTATCCTCATCAGTTAGCCATTAGTATTCAGTCAGTGCTTCTTTATTAGTACTCTACACTCATCTCAATTGTTTTAAAAAATGTTTATTTGATATTTTTCTGATATTAATGCATGTATTGTTTATTTTACAAATTTAAACATTTTCTTTTTTAAAAATAGAAAAATATTGCGAAAAATATCAAATAAAGTTTGTGGTATGAACAAATTTGCACTGATTTGCACAGCAAGTAGAATAATGAGACGAAATAGACGATCAGAGTGGATCTGTCCGAGTTGTGGTTTCTCCGACGGTAAATCTCCGGCGGTCGTCTGTCAGAAATGCAACGAGTGGCATCATTGGTAGATTTTATTGAGTCACCATTTTGTTAAAACCTCTTCCATTCATCGACATAACACTTTAATATGTAAATTATATTTGATTTCTTTTTTAGGACTTGTGTTAGCCTTTGTAATGTACCTCCAGGGGATATGGATTGGTACTGCGTCAGATGTCTCAACCAAGATCCAACACTACGTAATCAAACAAAGAACCTAACATTGCCATCCGCATCGTTCGTGCCTGCCTGAGGTTCTATCCCCCGCACGGAATAGAGGTCGACCTTTTGGGAAAAGAAGGTTGAAGAAGGAACATTAATTGTTTGTGTATTATTAGAAATCGTTTTTGTTAGATGGTTGAGGAATTATTAACAACCATTTTTTTACCATAGTCAATCAGAGAGAGAGGAAAAAAAATCTACACACGATTATGATGTTAAAATTGTATCTTCAGATTTTTTTCGCTAACACCTTATATGATTTAATCCTTTTGGTTTGTGTTCAACGATACATGTTTTATAGACAGTTGCAAACACAATCCCACTCAGTTGCTAAATAATTAAGTTATTATTTCAGTGAATAACTAAGTTGGATTTCGATAATTTCCAATTGATTAATTTTTAATGATTAATAGTTAAATAATGGGCTTATCGATATTTATTTGGTACTTTTTGTTATTTTATTCTTGAGTATTTTATCTATTTTAGTTTCCTATTATGCCATAATGGTTTTTGGTTTAGTATAATTCAGTCAACTTTTCTCGCTGTATCATTTAACCGGTTAATTCATCATGGAGGAGTAATTTGTTACTCTGAAACTGTAAAACGACATTTTAATTCACCTTGATTGTTTAGCGTTTATCTTCACATGTGCATATGTATGAGTGTGGATTTGTGTTTGTGTGTGTGTGTCCGTAAAAGAATGTCAATCGTTAGTGATGCATCATTAGTGTATCCAGGGTGCCGTTTATACTTGATTCTACGTCGAAAAAGATTTCCAAATTTGTTCTTTGTAATTTTGTCTATATGATAAATAGTTTTCCCGTCTATGCTTGTTTTTTTTTAAATTATCGACGGCGGTGTTCTAGAGGGATTGCAATTGTTTAATTTTAGCTGAAATTATTATCAAATTTTACCGATTTTACGTTATTAAACTATTATTAAATTATTTAGTTTATTTATTTATTGTAAGTTTTGATGAAATTATGTTTCGAGATGATATAAATATGGAGGGTCCGGAATTCATTAATAATGGAATTGTCCCCAGAGACAAGGGAGTCGATCGTGAGAAGGTCCATAATTTTATTTTTATTTTATTTAGAACTTTTTATTTATAACTCTTGAAAAATTGCTTGTTTGTAAAGTTCAATTTAATAGTTTTTTTAAACTTTTAAAAATAAAACTTAATTAAATTTATCATTAATATAAAATTTAAAATAAAAATAAATTCAAAATTACAAAAAAGTAAGTTAAGCCATGGTTAGTAAAGAGAAATAATGCTAGTCTAAATTCTAAAATCAATTATTTTTATGTATTCAACAATTCTGAAATCTTGTTACCAAATAATAATTGTTAAATTAAATAAAACGAAAAATAATTAAAAATTAAATGGCAATATCACGAAATATAATCATATTATATTTTACTTATGAAATGAATGTATGAATTTTTGATAATTATGTCATATTGTGGCCATTGTCATTGATATTATATATATTATAATTATATATATACATAATAATTAAAATAGTTTGGAAAAGTTTATTTGTGCTCTAATGATTACAACTTACTTAATTTAAATATCTTTTTATTTTGCAATCAGACATGTCCACTATTGCTGCGTGTGTTTTGTAACACTGGCCGTCACAACCAACTCACTGAATATTCCAGAGGCAAGACACCTATGAACGAACTACAAGTCTATACATGGTAATTTTTAAAGTTTAAACTTTTAATAAAAGTTTAATAACAAATCTGTATAAGTTTTTGTGTTCACTGTATCATCTTTCTGTGATAAATTCCTTGTTACATTTTTAACTTAGATGTTTTATGATTTTAATTCAGATCACATCCTCAAATACACTCAATTGACTTTTTAATTATAATTATCTTAAAATTATTTCTAAAATAATGCTGACAATTAAAATTCATACGTCTCATAGGTTGGACGCCACTTTGAAAGAACTAACAAACCTTGTGAAAGAAGTAAACAAGGAAGCCAGAGTTAAAGGAACCTATTTTGACTTTGGTATCGTGTACCCAGACTCGAGATCACCTGCTTACAAATTCAGAGATATCGGCAGTACTTGTAGTGGAAAGAAAGGACTTGATGATAATGTTACACTGGCCAGTCGAAACTTCCAAATAGGTGACTACATCGACATTGCCATCACTCCACCTCAAGAGTATTCTTATAATCCACTAATCGATGAATGTAGATGGTAAAAGTTTATTTGGGAAAAGATGAGAGAGAGAGAGAGAGAGAGAGAGAGAGAGAGAGAGAATATGAAATATTTGTAGGTTGGACATGTACTGTCAAAATATTTGTGTTAATTTCTGTTGTTTCCTAATGACTGATTTGTATTAACGTTTGTTTCATATTAGTAATAAAGTTATAAATAAAGTAAAGCATATAGCGTTGTTGACTTCCGACTATTTTTTCTTGCAATTTTTTTAATTTGTGAGAATGATTTAAAAACAAATCGGAGCGTCGTCGTGTTTTTTAAATGAAAATAATAAATCTCAAAATGATAACAAAGCTTGGTAAGATCTGTTTGTTTCTAGTGAAATTAAAATTATATAACAACAATAGCACAACGTCTAGTAGTCTTTTCTCAATTTTATTTTCGGTAAACAGACAACAATAAGAGAATTAATAAGATGCAGTTAAATGTTGAACAAAAGATGAGACAGTCTAAACTCTGGATAATACTTAAAATTAAAATAATGTCTTAACAAAAAACAATAAGATTGAATAGCTCAGATGAGGTTTCTCAGACTCTCTTCCTTCATCTCCCTTTCTCTCTCTTTCTATCCGTCGTTCTCTCTTCATCTTTCTTTTTTATTTGCCCCACTAACAAACATCCCTTCCAGGAAATAGATAGATGGAAACAGTATCATCAATAAGAAGACCATTTTCATCATAGTGAAGCATTTTGAGGCACATGTCACAGAAGAAACACGGATTCTCTGGAGATAACTTACTGTTTACAGCCACCCACCTGTTAGTGTAACGTGTGTAACTAGTGATTCGTATCATTTTCTATTAGTGTGATTATGGTAGCTAGTGCAGTTAACTAATTTGTGTGTGGATGATAGATCACTGTCAATCAACCAACCAAAGAAAGCCACTTGCTTAGCAAACAATATACGTCATGCATTCATGCATCAATAAACCAAGTATATCCACCCATCAATCAATCAATCAATTAATCGGCCAGTCAATCAAACCATACAATCAACAACGACAAACGTTACTAACTTAACAAATCGTCTGCAGCAAGCTCGGCACATAATCTTTCTTTCACTACTCTTGTACGTTTCAAGTGGGTAAGGTAGTTTGTACACGCATTCGTCCTGGCTTAAAATCCTAGGAAAGAAAAAAATTAAATCAGTCAGTTTTAGATTGAAAAAAATTTGATAATCTATTGTTTTCTATAGCAACACTAAAACAGCCAAAACAACAATAAAAAACAAAATCGGCGAAACAACACCCTGACCAACATCCAGCAATAAACAATTGACCAAAAGAACAAGACCAACAAAATTTTGTAACGCTAAATTAATCAATAAATAGTAATAAAAACAACGAAAAAACAAAAAAAACGACAATAATAATATAAAATAACAACAATAATTATAACAACAACAGAAAGCAACAACAACAACCTAAGATCAGTGAAAATAATTAGGTGTTCACAATTTCCCTGGTGCATGTATAGGTAAGGTTGGCCGATCCTTATGGTTAAATCAAGGAACTTGACTCCATCCATACTTTCGTACTTGAATGGGCCCACAATCTCTGGTCTCTCCTCTGCCCACTCTTTCATACTCCTGAAAAATTATTTTATTTTTAAAATTAATTTTTAAACATCCTACTAAAAATTATAATTTAGTAATTAGTTTATATATTATTTTTATCAATAATTTAATAAATTAGTGAATGAATGGTTGAACAAGTGACTAATGAATGAGTGGATAGACAGATGAATGAATGATTGAAGAGAGTAAACGAAAGAATAATTGGAGCGTGTAAACGAGCGAATGATTGCATGAATGAAAGAGACAAACATGAAAAACCCACAATGAATAGTCAATAGACCCTTCATGCCTAAAGTCATTGTAAAAAGTTCCTTCAATGAACAGGAAGCCAGACTTGTAAATATCCTGAGTTGTGAAAAAATGATTTTCATCAAAAAATGATAATAATCATCATCACACACAATCACCGAAATCAATCATATTCAAGCAATCATCATCACAGCACATAATACAAGCACGCCATCACATCATCACAACGATCAACGATCATCATGGCAAAACTAATCATCACCATCCCCTATTGGAATCATGAGGATCATAATCATCATCGTCACCACAAAAATTTGTCACTCTTACTTTTGTTGTGGTTGAAATTGGGGCGTCTGGGTCAAATTTGTAATCCTCATTGACAACTAGGTCAGATGAGCAATATATTTTGTCCCTTAACTGGGTCAAGTAATTTGAACCCAAAGTGTTGAACTCTTGTTCTAGAATTTGCTTCTAAATAAGGGTACATATGTATGTTTGTTGAAAATGTATTGATGTGTTTGTGTATGTATAGGTAGCTATGTATTTTTGTTTATATGAAACATATGCATGTTTGTACAGTTTGTTTGTTTGTTTGTGAGTGTATGAGTGTATGAATATATACATAACATAAAAAACGAAAATAATTAAAGAAATAAACTCTAGATATTAAATAATAGCCAAAATTATAATATTCTTAAAAGAATGAGTAATAAAATTAATCTACACTAACTTTATTCTTCTTATATGGCCTGAAGACATGAACAGTAAGTAGGACATCAGGGTATGCTACTTTTTGCAATTTAAGTTTCTTTTTATCCACATCACCATCACCACTTTTGAGATTTCTATCCACTCTCTTTCGAGATTTTCTCATTTTATTGTTTCTCTTTTCTCTTTTCAACCTTTCAATATTACCACTACTCTGATTGCAATCACCGTCATCTTTCAAGCTCTTCATTCTATTATCGCAATCATCAACAACAACATCGTCAGTAATATCATTAAGATAATTATTATTATTATTGTTATTGTCGTTGATGCAGTTGAATATGTAGGAATTGATGGTACTAAAACCCTTAATGTCGTTGATCTCGTTGTAGTCAAGGCCGTCCATATCTATAAATTCCGTGACGTTATTGTCACAGCTACATATCAAATCATCTACTATTGAATTATTATTATTGTTATTGAGTAAATTAACATTACTAACATTAATATTGTGATAATCGTCATCGTCATAATAACAATTATTACTATTACTACTATTATTAATGATGAAGTTGTTGTCACTGTTTATATCATTATATTCATCATCATTATTATTATCATTGTTATTATTATTATTGTTAACAATGTTAATTTTTTTATACACAGGATCTTTGGTTTTATCGGGGGTAGTTTTATCAAAATCGGCCATCACTTCATTAGTGTTGGTGTTATTATTTACAAGACAGCTGTTCATAATGTCGGGGTTAATGTTCAGGAAACTGTGCTTCTGATTAGGAAAACAAGAAAAAATATTATTAATTGACTTTTTTATTATTAAAAAATAATTTAAATAAAAGAATAAAATGTTTATGTATAGAATAACTGATTTATGTTATATTTCCACACAAATCAGCCTATTGGTTAACTAATTATAATTTAAATAAAATAATGGACCAGTCTTCTAAAGAGAAGTATAAAAGATTAATCGCAGAATAATAAATCATAATTTTCTGAACAAGATTCAATAATTTTCCAAAAGAAAAGTTGAAATTTCACAAACCCAAGGCGCATCTGACAGAATGTACTTGCACTTTTCCAAATTCTTCCTCAAGTAGTTTTTATCCACTTTACGTCTTTTCAAATCCATTGATCTATGCCTGAGGAAAAATTTGTTTATAGTATAACACTAAAAATATTATAAATGTAAATTTATGTCATATAAAAATAAATAAATTTCATTAAAAAAATATAATTAATCTACTAATAATCTATTGGAATTCAGTTGAAATTAAATTAATAATTTATAATTATTTTTAATGCAATTATTAAATAAATTTTATTGGATTGATTTTTAAATTTTACTAACTGAAGTGTTATGAGGCCTGTATCTTCTGGTATGACAGTTAGGTAATCAGGGGTTCTATAACTGCTGATTAGATTCTTTGGACTTTTGAATGAAAAGGAAATATTTTTTAGTATAGTAATGATGAAAAAATAATAAAATCAAACAGTAATAAAAATAAATTTAATTGAAAAGAGAGAAATTCATTTAATATTAATTTAATTGATTATTTTTAATTAAATTAAAATGATGTAAATAATTTAATTTTAATTTAATTCATTTCAAATGTTAAATAAAAATAAATTAAAGATAAATAACTAGGCCTACAATTTGGTAAATTTAAAATGTTTAAATTACTAACTCAAAAAGAGGATTTTTGGCCAAATTGTCGTAATCATCATTGGCAAACGGCACATCACTGATATCCTGAATTTGAGTTCTCTGAATCCAATCTTCAAGAAATTGAGAAATTATTATCGGATCGCCAACTCCATAATCGGTGGCCATTTTATTAATTATTTAATCTCAAATAATGAAATAATTATTCATAAAAAATAAGCTAGCGAAACCATTCACGACAGAATTTACAAATTCATGTTAAGTCGATAATAAACAACCGCAAAGTTAACTTTTAGTTTTTATTTACATAGAAACATAAATTATACCTATATGTTATAATAAATATGCACGGCCTGATCGTCGTAAAACACAAGCATGGATATAATATATATATATATATCCACGAACACAAGACATTTTTTTTCTCCAAAACGTATCCAATTTTATTCAGAGTTCTGTGGCTAGAAACACAATATTCATTGTACTTGCGGGCTTTCTAAAATGAATTATATACAAAAATTCCGATTTTCGTTAAGTATAACCATAACCATATCCATCATGGATATATATATATATCCATGAGTATAACATGAAGAGAGGCCTCATCATACTTTAGTCATTTAAGCTCAGTAAAATTACGTACCATAAATTGTGGGTTCACCTCTCGTTATCTCGATATCCGTGACAATTTCACTTGAAATATATGTCCTCTGTGGCGTGGATGGAACAACTGCTAGATATTTGTTCCTCGCCATCCTTCTATCATCGATGCCGTCTGCTCAATCTGAGTGGCCGTCTTTTTCTATTTACGCTCTTCATTCCGAACACTATAAAGTTTTCAATTTTTTTTACTCTTTATTCTTCAGATGTGCCCAATAAGTCTTAGTTATCTTTGAACTTTTCTTCGAACTCCGTCGCATGTGGAACAATCCAGCCTCATGTTGTGCCAATCAGGAACCCGGAAAAAAGAGGAGGGTTCGTCAGATGAGTGCCGATACATTGACGATTAAAACAGGAAAAATCTAATGCCCATGATTCACCCGACAGTCGTAATCCAATATTTATATAAGTATATATGAGCAAAACATCGAAACACACGTTTTAAAATATATATATATTTGCATGGTCCAATGAATACACATATAAATGTTTCTAATTTTTTTTATCAGCATTTTAAAAGCAGCTAATTATAAAAATATAACAAACATACATAATATTGAATGCACGCAATATAACTATTGATGATTTAAGTAGATGCGTTACTTCTATTTCAATCAACCAACCAAGCCTTCAAAAATTGCAACAAATTAAATAAACATTAATAACAGAGTGAATGACGAATTTCAATTCAAGTTTAGAGAGTTTTGTAGTATCTGCTGAAGCATAACACACATGCACACAATTTCATAATGGTTATGAGAACTTGTATTTTAGAAATAACTTAATTGAATGCTAAGACAGACAAAAAGGATGGATGGATGGAACTATTGTTGCTTACACTCTTGTTTCCCACCCTGGACGAAGAAACAATTATATTGACTAGTAAGAAAATTAATTACTTATAATTTGAAAAAAGAGAAAAATTTACATTGTCACCAAGTTAATTCATCGTTATAATTCAGCATCATACAGTTTTATGATACTCGAAAGGCAGTAATTAATAAACAATAAGAGATTATAACATAATTAAAATAATAAAAAATTATAACAAACTTGCTGATCAGGCTCATAATCTGGATCTTTTTCATCATCTTCACCGTCACCTTCATACTGGTAATGAAAAATAGTAATTAAAAAACTAATGAGTCACTAACATAGAACCTTAAGCCAACATAAATCTCATGTCATATATCATTCACATGTTAGCATACAATAAACCACTCATTACACACATGCAAAATAAACAATTGGTTTCATTCATCCATTGAAACCCATCAGTGCAGCACAGAAGATGGGCACTTTAGCACTAAGCAACCAGACCATCTTCAACACAATCAACTGAACTTACATCACTAGGGCCATCCTCATCTTCATCGTATATATCATCATCGAGTGCCTCTCCTGTGAAATACAGGACAGCTTTTGGTACTAAGCTGCTCTGAAGAAGTTGGCCTACCTCAAAGTCGGCTAACAATATGGCCTCCTTTTCATCCTGAAATTAGTAGAAGGATGGAATGAATTGGTCAAAAGAATGAAGATGGATGGTCATGCAATTAATTGAGAAGCAGAAATAAATTGAAAAAAATCAATTGGATGAATGAAGAACGAATGAATGAATACAAATTTTATACATCACAATGTTTGCAAGCAAAAGGAGTGACTTGGATGAAAGAATGCTTCACAGAAAAAATAAAACTAATTATACACAGGGTTTGTGCGTTAGAAGGATTGTGTGAATTATATAATTTAGTGGACTGACTAAACAAAATGAAATAAATAAATAGATACACATATTGCAGTATGACTGTGAATGAAACCAATTGAACGAATGAATGAAGAGAAAGAGGACTGACACACAGATGGTTATCATTAACCATTTCAAAAAAGACGTATGTAGTGACAGGACATTGGAATGAATGAATGAGTGAGTCTGAGAATGTATGAATGATGATTGTATAAAAAATTGCAAAAATAAGCCAACATGCTCCTCTTCGTCTGCTGAATTATCAGTTGTAACAGGGGCTGTAAATGAAAGAAAATATTACTTAAACTAACAGAGTAACATATAAAAAACAAACAACAAAAAAGAAATAATTAAATACATAGGGGATTGAATAGCATTCACAACAATAGAAACACCAATTAAAAAAAATGACAAACATTTACATGAGTAGACAAACCTGGTGGATCCGGGGGACTGAAGAAGTTGAAGAATGACTTCTGTTTCACAGTTTTGTTGACGACCTTCTTGGCTCCTCCCTTACCCTTGACCTTCTGTTTGATTGACTTCTCTGTTAGGTTTTTGTCTTTCTTCCAGTTTATTTTACATCTGTAATACCAACAAACTGTCCATTATGTGAAAAATTGATATCAACCATAATATTTAAACTGAGCATAGTATGCAGAAGTAACATTTAATGATAATAAACACAAAGCAAAGCCCAAATAAAACGAACTGATCTATAACAATAAACCAAATAATCCAATTCAATGGAATAAAACATAAAAATTAAATATAACAAAACAAAGAATTACTTTTCATAATAAAAAACCAACCTAACCAGCTAACTGAAACAAATTGTAAAAAACCGCCTAGAAATGAAATAAATATCTAACCCAGTGCACTTGACAATTTCAGGCCCATCGTAGGTCATAGGTGCAGAAGGGTCTGGAGAACTTCTGGTGTAATACCTCTTGACCAATGTCTTATCTTCAAAGTAGTCATTCTCGTCGAAATCAAAGTGCAGCTCAAAGTACTAGATCACCAATTAAAATAAATACCAATGAAAAAAGTGAGTTTAGTTCCATCTAATCACTGATTATATGTATGTGTTACATTGTATTATTTCACCATAGTACTTTACAGTACTATAGTGTAGTATTGTGGCCAAACACTTTCATCACCACCATCATCATCATTGTTAATATAACTCACTGACCATTTCCTCCACTTGATCTGAGAAGATGACCCTTATGTCCTGCAACTTCTTCAACGGCTCTTCATCCTGCTCCTATTGGCACCACCAGCAAAATATTTATAATAATCTATAATTATTATTTTCTCATAATAATACCATTAATTACTATATATAAAAATGTACAACTGAATAAATAAATCTCATGAGAAGGAAATCAAGACAGTTGCAGAAACATGGTAAATGTAGACAGGTGAACAACTTGCAAAGAGAAATATTAAACATCATTACTGCATATTATAATTTATACAATAATCCACATTATTGCCATTTTATTACAAAACACACCTGTACGAGGTTCGATAGAATTTCAACGTTTTTGAAAATCGTTAGCCAGAATTCGGGAATACCCTTAGTATTCTCGTCTTGAAAAAACAACAAAAATTTATTTAATAATAAAAAATTATTACATTACAAAACTGTAATAAAAATAATATCATTTTTTATGTTACTCAACCGTTTAACAAATAATAATAATAATAAGAACGAACCCCATTGTCCGGAGGGAGATTGCAATGGTACTGTCTTCTTACTCTCCCCACCATCTACATTTGTGTCTGGTTTCTGGATAAAATTGTAATTAATCAAAGATTAATAATAATTATATTATTATTATTTATATCATAATAATCAAATAACCCATCTCATATAGAAGTAGAAAAGTTGGCAGCAAGTAATGGCAACCTACTGCGTCCCCAACTTTTGCCAAGAAAACCACAGACAATCACAAACCAATTAAAAAAAACATGATAGTGACAGATTAAATAAATAAATAAAATGTATGAATAAAATTAATTATAATGCTTATAATAACATGTAACAACATTTTATATTGAACTACTGCTACAAGAAGCAGTCATGCTGCGTCCATCAAAAGAAACATTATAATAATAAAAATTATTAATAATGTTAATAAAGCATAAGCAATTAACAACATCAATTAAAGATCACCCACTATGTCAAATCAAATAAAGAGATAGGAAACTAACATCAGCAGAGCTTGCCTGGGCAACAAGATCAACATTTTTACAGTCTTTTGATTGTTGCTTGTCACCTTCTCCATCTTTACAAGCCTCATCTTCCTCCTCTTCATCGTTGTCACTCTGGTAGTCGCAGTCTGAATCTGTCGGTTCTTTGACAGCCGATATGATGTCACGTCTCTGTTGTTTAAAAAAATATTAGTGTCATGTTATTATGTTAAATAGTTAGATAAGGTTTAAATCAAATGAAACAATATAGTTCAAAAACATCAGGAAAAATATTTATTTTGTTACCTTTTGAAGAAGTGGTTTGTACAAATCAGCATATTTATGCTCTAGCAAGTGAACTTCTTCATAAAATTTAGCCTCCACATTGAAAACTTCCAACTGCAGCTTTTTCAGAGCTCTTAATCGTCTCTTCATTGACTTAGGTAAGCTGTTTTAAAAAATAATTAAAGACTAAAACACTAAATATTTAGTAGATTAATATTATTATCTGATTACAAATCAAAAAGTAATTACGTTTCTATGTATCCAGATCTCTGGCCAGCCATGCTGTCTAATTTCCTACCAAAGGCTGCCAACACATTCGGATCAGACATCAGCTGTCCTGTTATCTTCGAGACCACGTCTGGCTTTAAATCTCCTTCAGATTAAATTAGAAAAATATGAGCTTAACTGCAATTGATTATGAATAAAATTAAAAATTTAATAAAACAGATAATGAAAAGATAAACAACCTTCTTTTTCTTTTTTGACATCAGGCTGTACATCACCGCTTTGTAAAAAAACAAATATCTTAAATTCACAAATCGATCCCAAAAACAGTTAGAGTTTGTAAAATTAAACAAAAAGTAAAAGTAAAAACAAAAAGTAAAACAAAATGAAAATCTGACTTTTAAACAAAACAAACAAGAGAAAGTTATACTGACTTCTCCGCCATTTTTGATTTCAACGTAGGGTGAGGTAAAATTAGTGAGGAAATGTTTTTTAATGTGGAAATTTAACGATTAACAAGTTTTTTTGATGAAATAGCAGAAAATAAAAGGAATAAAATCCGCTTAAGATCGCAAAACGGCACGTGTAACCAACAAAATGAAACAAAGAAAATTAAAAGATAAGAGCGCTAAATCAAAGATTCTTAAGCTAAAAATTTAGCTCATTTTATAGCACTGCATTACAACTTCGACTTTCAGTATATTTTTATGGCTAAAAATTCAAATGTTTTCTCTTTTCTCCATGAGTTTTAGCTCAGCTTATTAAACATACACACACAAAATAATATATAAATGATTTTAATAGTATTCTAAATGTGGTCATAAATAAATGTACACATTTCAGTACATGGCTCAAACAATGCTTTGATATGCGTTTACTTATAATACAATATATTTTCGGGTATTCTACGCAAAATGTGCATTATGTACACGACTATGTATTGTTTTATTTAATTTTTTTTAATTATCCGATTTTTCCTATTAAATGTCATAACAGGCAAAAAGGTAATATAATAAAATTCACGTATATAAGAAACCAACAAATTGTAACAAAAACCGAAAATTCAATTACGTGTTCCAACAAATCCTGTGTAACATAACAATCGTTTAACTCGGTAAAATTATCTTCAAATATTGTTGTTGAAAAAATTAAATGTTTTATTAGCCAATTTTCTGCACTGGACAGCTTTTAAGATGTCATAAAATGATGCAGTTGAGATGTTTTCCACACTACCCAACGTGTCCAAGAGCAAGAAACATTCTACAGAAAAGCATATTTTTCCATTTTCAAATGTAATTTATTTTCAGTTCATATCAATGTTAAATATAACAAAATGTACCATGCTCTGAAAATCCAGAATGCCTAAATGGACTGATAATTTTATTAGGATCTGTTAATCCTGTTTCCAAATTTGTTGAAAGTTTATCCCACAAGATGGAAGCTCCTTTTTTGTGATGAGCCTTGGTGCATAATATATTACACATTCCAATTTCAGTTAGATTAAACTTTTAGAGTTTCACTTACTTTGGCTAATGTGTCCATACACTGACAAGCTTCTGTTTCATTTCTTACAGGCATGACTGTTAATTTACTCATCAAATACCTTTGAAATATCAAATTTTATAATGAAATACTTGTATTCTATGCATCTAATATAGCTAATATAATTAACCAAACAAATGAATGTTGGCAATGTTCAAGAAACAAACTTATTTTGCAATGAAAAGAAATTATCAAAGTTTAGAGTAGCCTCTATGGGTTCAGCTATGCATAATAAATGACAATTCTTGTGCAATTCCAACATCTTAGAAATCTCTCTGAGTAGTTATTTTGACAGTTTTATTTTTATTACTGAAAAAGGAACCAAAATTGAATTTTTCAGAATTTAAAAAAATGAATCATCAAACAACTAACAGAAGAAATGAATGAAAAAGGAATAACTTTTTAAAATAGATATAGAAAAACAAAAAACTCATATTACTCAGCGGAATCCAAATTGGAGCGATCATCAGTTGAATCACTTGGAAAGTTTAATAGGAAAATAATTCCAGATGCTGGGAAAATTATTGAATTCCTGATCGTAGTTGAAGAAACTGAAACATTTTTTAATATTTATTAACTATTTGTATTTATAAACGATCCAACCAAAAATTGAAATACAATGACAAAAACACTCAAATACAAACTTCTTATTTTATAAGAATCGGAAAGTATTTCAAACACTTTAGAGTTCGACAAACAATCGTTTAAAATGACGGACATCTTGACTTCTGCTAGAAACTGAAAATTCGTTCGGATATTTTCTTCAAATTACGAGCGAGTTTTGTTAAAAGTTTTAATAATATTCAAAAAGCAACCATATAAGCGTCTGAACCATGGATATAATCGAGGATATGAACTCGCCTATCTACAGAGAAAAAAATGGAAACCAAATTTCTTTAATGCTTAGTTTACTTTTATTATTTCAAAGTTTAAGTTAAATTTTAAACGTTCAAGCTTGTTGTTTGCTTCGTAAAAGAATAGGTATCGGTCTGATTATGAAATATTTTTTAAGATTTAAAAACTTGAAGAACACTAATTTTATAAACAATAACGCCTCTAAATCTAGATATTTGAACATAATTAAAACTGAAGTACACAGACAGTACAAAGTGGACATCGGTCGTTGTATCCCTGCATTCAAAAAATTTCTAAGTTTATTTTATGATATAAAAATTAGACTCAACAACGTATTAAATTTAAAAAAAATGGCCGCTCTACGTAGTCTGTCATCAACTGATCTAGTTGATGACATACCGATGGAAAAACATGTTGTTGGAGATGGTGCCCGTGGTATAAAAAATTTAGACAAAAGTCTTTTCAATTGTTCAGTAAAAGCAATTGGCATAACAGTCTCAGTTAAAAACGTTGCACCATTCAAAAAGTCGTTTAAAAACTCAATTTTCAAAATTACAAATGTCAATCCAGTAGTCAAATTAGGCAAGGAAACTGGCAAAGATCCTGAATCACTAGAAAGCAGTAGAGTAATTTTAATAGACCCAAATATATATTCATCTCCAGATGAGTTCACTTCAAAACATCTGTCACAATTGAACGAATTGAATGTTGATCTCACCTCATGTAATTATTATTCAATATCCCTTGACTACACAAACTGGAATTATGATGAAATTCTAAAGTGGATTCTTCCATTAAAAGGAGTGGACGGCATTGGTGGATTTAGCATCATTGGCCACATTGCTCATTTGAATCTGAAGGATGATTTATTGGACTACAAATCAGTTATTGGTTAAAATTTCATTTTTGTCATTCATATTTTTGTAAATAATTGTTAAAAATTATATAAGTTTATGATAGTTTTAGTAAAACCATATAACTCCACCTCACAAAATTAGGTCAGGTCATACTAGACAAAGTCAGTGCAGTTAGAACTGTTGTAAACAAACTTCAGACTATCGACAACACGTTTAGAAATTTTAAAATGGAGTTGTTAGCTGGAGATGAGGATTACAAGACTATGATGAAAGAACATGGAGTCACTTATGAATTTGATTTCTCTAAAGTTTATTGGAATCCTAGATTAGGTGGAGGCCAGGGATGTGATGTGATCATGTTATAGCATGTTAATTGCAAATTGCAATGAAGTATAGTGATATGATGATGTGGTGATGAAATAACAGGAATAAAATTGATAAAATATTATTAAAACTAAAATAGCCACAGAACACCAAAGAATAGTTGAATATTTGAAGCCTGGTGACTTAGTTTTTGATGTCTTTGCTGGAGTTGGACCTTTTGTTATACCAGCAGCTAAGAGGGGCTGTCTTGTTTATGCTAATGATCTTAACCCGGACTCATTTCATTGGTTGAAGAGAAACATGAATATAAATAAGGTGTTTTATGAAAATTAATAAATATTACAAATAGATATTGCATTACTTTTTTATGTGTGTGTGCGCGCGTCGTGTGTATTATATATATATATATATATATATATATATATATATATATATATATATATATATATATATATATAATACCTCAGACAAAATCAACAAACTCACAGGCATCTTCTACAAAATCAAATATAAACTCTCTCTTTCTGCTCTTCGCACGCTTTATTACACATTCATCTACCCTTATCTAACTTACTGCATCACACTATGGGGAAATAGTCCAAAAAGCCACCTGAATAACCTAATACTTTCCCAAAAAAGATCAATACGTTTAATTTTTAACCTCAAACCCGATTCTCATACTAAACTCTTCTTCCTAGCAAAAAAAATTTTACCACTTAACTTCATCTGTCTTTACTACTCTGCTTTATTCGTTTTTAAATTTATCAACAATCTTCTCCCACCTCACTTTATCAACTTCTACACATTAAGTAACTCCGTTCAATCTACAACCACTAGACACACCCCTCTCTTCTATATCTACGAAACTCGCCTCAAATTAATCCAGACAAGCATAAAAACAACAGGTCTTAAAATTTGGACAGAACTTGTACCTCCCCATCTAAGAGCCATCATAAACCTACAACATTTCAAGTCAAAATTCCGTGCTTTTTTATTGACACTGGATCTCGACTCCACCACCTAATATTATATTAAGAATACGTTAGAACAAATGATGCGGATGAATGGTCTTTATGAATGGTTAAACATTTATGTGTTTATATATGTACTGAGCGAACATTTACATAGTTATATGACTATATATGTATGACACGAACATTTACTTATTTATCTTCAATTATCTTTCTGCTTCTGTTATTTTCCTTATTTTATTTCATTAACTATCCATGTATCTACCTGCGGTGGCCATCACAAGACAAACAGTCTTATTCGGTCTCTGCATATTCAACTTCATAACTTTTATTCACTTATTTGATATGTTGTTGATTATGAATAAAACTTTGAAAATGAAAAAAAAAGAAAATATATATTATATATATATATATATATATATAAGTAGTTTATCAAATTTTTTTTCAAAGATATGTCCAGAAAAGTTCAATGTTTATAATTTGGATGGAAGAGAGTTTATTGGCACCATATTGAAAGATGTTATCTTAAAAGAGAAAATATTAGTTAGATGTTTAAATTTTAATTAATTTATTCATTATTTATTCATTTTATTTTGTTAATTTTTATTGAAGAAAAAAAATTTTTTATAATTTTTTCACTTTAATTTGAAATAAGTTCTAAGAAAATAATATATGTAATAAAAAATGGTTCTATTACAGATTAAAGAAAACGACAGCTCATCAGCTAACGCCAGCGACAGCAGCGGCAGTAATCGTGGCTACGTACACGTCGTGATGAATTTACCAGCGTTGGCAACTGAATTCCTGGATGCATTTAAAGGTCTTATAATTGGTCTTTCGCCTTTGCAAGTCTTAAAACCAGATCCCATCAACAAAGAAGTTAATTTTTTTGGCACAACAACTACTGCTACTTCTACCGCTACTTTTGCTGCAGCTGCTAATAATAATAATGATGATAATAATAATAATAATAATCCTCACACTCCCATTGCTAGTATGACAACTGCGACCACTACTTCTGATTCAGTAACTAATTTTGCGTCACCTACGGCCGCCGTTTGTAAGGGTAAAAATAATAATAACAACAATAATAGTAATAATAATAATTATGATAATAATATCGATAATAATAATTATTATATGGCTAGCCGCATAAACAGTAACATAATTATACATTGCTACAGCTTCAGTAAAGCAGTCGACCCGGAAAGTGACGTCATTACACGGGTCAAGCAGTCGCTCGACCTTGACCTTTTGACCTTTTTTAAGTCAGGGGTGCGGAGAGTTAGAAATGTGGCCCCCAATAAGGAGATGATGTGCGTTAGTTTCCACCTACCTCTGCATGTTTTATTTTCCCGTGATAGCGATGACGACTGTTCTCGTCAAGATCGTCATCAGGATCAACGCCGTCAAGATAATCATTATCATCGAGACGACAATAAAACGGATCCAATCTCGCCTCCAGAAAAACGCATCAAACTGTAGCAGTGAAGTAGATTCGTTTCAAAAACTATGGCCACATTCATTCAGTTTTCAAGTCACGAATTTGTTCAGTCTTTACGAATAACAATACAAATAAAATTAATAGTAGCAATAGTAATGAAAATAATCACAAACACTCCAATAAATTGTTTTACGTATGTTTAACACGTATCGAGAAAACGTACCATAAAAAGCAAACGTCCTGAATATCGCGTATGTCGTCAATAATAACTTTAGTTTATCACGGCGTAAGTATATTTTTCACGTCTTATTTCATTACGGCGTTTTTTACTTCGTACCGTATTTTACTTGCCACCACCAACCACAACAGTCCGGTGAAATCTCTTTTCTCATTAAACTTGGGTTTGAGTGTTCGTTTCTCCCCAACCGTCCAAACTGATCAGCTGAGCCGTCGGGGCGTACGTGTACTGATGACATGATGGGTGTTTAATTGGTTTTCATAATAAAGTAACTAACGTTTATAAATTTATTAACATATCCATGCGTTTGAATTTTTGTTATTTAATTTATATGGGATGACTAAATAATTAAAATAAATGGTGAAATTGATTGACGACTGATTAATGGAAGGCTCACCGAAGTAGCCTGTCTTTCCGGCATTCCAGTTATGGAGAGGCGTGCTTTGGATTTAACAGCGTTCGTAAAAGTCGTCTGTTGTTAGTTGTTCGTTTTTTATAGGTTTGTTTGATTGATTGGTAACTTATTGAAAAAACTATCATTAAACCGACTGACTAATCCCACCTTTCGTCTTCTAGCCTCGACTTTCGACTTGTAGAGGAATTCACAAGTAGCCATAACTAATGCCAACGTCAGTCCGCCCATCAAAATGTAGAAAATGCCTGCCACGTTCGGTAGCTCCAACGAACTTGTCACTTCTTGCTGTGTTTGTCAGGGAATATTCTCGTTAACCATAATTGGTAACAGAGGAATAGGCAAGTCTTATCGTATTATGTATTGCTGGGTAGATAGATATGTATGTACAGTGCGTGCAAAGTGTAGGTATTTGTTAGTATTTTTGGTGAGTTTTGTGTTAAAACTAAATCATACAAAAGTTTAGAGCGTTACAAAGATAAAAATATATTTTACTCATGTTAGCAGTTATTTTTTCTTATGCTATTACTTGTTAGGAAAGCCTTTGTTATATAATATTCATTCATTATATTAACAGAGATATTTGTTTAGTTTAACGTTTATAACCGTTGTAAAGTACTATTCACACTAGGTACCTAACTTATCATTACTAAATACTTAATTTAGTAATACTTGGTAATATTTAATACTTACCGTAAGTGCATGAAAACTGCACACTAACCTTTTTAATCATGGCGCCATTGTTAGGACATTTGCTGTTGTCATACCACCACATCTTTTCCAACTTTGCCAGTTCTTCATTTTCGCTCAACTCTAAAACGGCCAGTGTAATCCGATCTCTAAAATGTTAGTAATTTGAGGAAAGATAAAAAATTGACGGCCTATATTTGTATAGAATGATGTGTCCTCCTTTTAGCAGATGCTTATATATATACACTACATATACTTATTTACAAATCATAATGCATAAAAAAATCACTTAATATATTGATTAATTTTGACCGATAATAAAAAAATATCCGACAGACTCACCTTAAATCCGAACCGAGTGGCGTACCGACGCCGTATCCTTTTGAGTCGAGGTTGCTTCCAACTTTCATGGTATCACAGGGTTCTATCTGGTTGATGTAATCGTTTGTAGTTGACTCGATGAGAAAAGCGTACTTCTCATTTCTCACACGCTCAACACCTTTCTCGTTCGTCTCGACAAATACCGACGGTTCTGTAGTGGTCATGAAGGCCCACATTCGCTCGTACACTGGGATAGTCGAGCGCTGGCCATTGAAATTATAAAATTAAATTTAAAAATAATATTTTTTGGATTTACAAACAAGTAACACATGCATGCTTTCACACACGCACGTTTGATCAAAACCACAGAATGTAAGAACCTTAAAGAACTCCATGGTGGATCCTGAATGAACCATTCCATATTTAATTTCCGTCTGTTTTGCTAAATCTTCAGCAGATTCAATGGGACTCTGCATTCTTTCCACCGTCAGAAATGCAGCCAGGTTAGCAGTGTAGGAAGAGATGATGATCAGAGTGAAGAACCACCACACCGAACCAACTATGCGGCCTGACACCGACCTGGTTAAAACGAAAAATATTTGAAGTTCAATTGGCGTTATTATTATTATATTTTTATTATATTATTATTATGTTATTATTATCTCATTGTCCTGAGTTCAAAAGCAATGAAATCCATGTTTATCAAAATGTTTGCATAACATTTTCGCATATATACCTTCAAAATCGCACGCTTTGTGATAAATTGAAGTGGTTCAAAAACTGGTAACAATTAAAAAATATTAATAATTTGGCTCGACCTGGGTTCAATATCACAACCCTGCTGCATGAATGCCCCCAGAGAGAACCACAGACTGTTGAAGATGGTGAAATTATTCGTCACCGAAGGTCCGTCGGTATGATCTTCAATGTGCCACTCGAACGGACTGAACCGACTGACCAGGAAGAGCACAACACTGACTCCGATGTAAGCGAATATCACGCACATCCATATCTCGTTCGAAAGTGGGCTCATGAACGAAAAGACGCCTGGCGGATCCTTCAGAGGCCGCTGGGGGTGGAGGAAGTGATTTTGTAATAAATTATTATATTATTATAATTATCTGGTTTTTATTATAATTAATAATTTAGAGAAATACTTTAATCATGATTGAGATTCCGAGACTCATGAATGGCTTGCTGAAATCGATGACTTGTTCTCTATCTGCTGTTATCGTTAGCGGAGCAATGGCCAGGTCAGCTTCCTAGATTTGTTTTTTCATTTTAATCTTTTATCTTAGTATTCAAAGTTAAATTACTACTGCGATATTAAAAATGTATTAAAATATTATTTAATGATATTCATCGATTGTAGGATTTCTGCTGTTGGCGTCATCATTTCATATACTTGTTCATGCTTTTTAAAACTTTATTTAATATAAAAGTTCGACATTTTAACCAGCCATTAACTCACTTAATTAAACCAAACAACCGGCTAATCAATTAGTTAGTCAATCGACCAATCAGTCAATCACACATTTGACCAACCAGTCAACTTACCAATCAATCCGGCCATTCATCTACTCACATGTCTTATAAGCTCTCCGACCATACCATTCCAAGTCGCATTTTCACCTTTTTGTCCATACTTCGTATCGTTAACGGGTTTAATGGTGTAGGTGAACCCGACAAAGTCCGCAATTTTTTTCGCCAGATCCGCGCAATACCCTTCGTATCTGTCGTTCCCCTCCCATTTCGTCCCGTTCGTTGGCTGGGGGCGTTCTTTTAAATACGGCGCCGTCTGGAATGAATTTTATTTTTCATTCATTATTACCATTATTCATTATTATTATTTTATTTCGTTTTTTGCACTTCTACATAATTGTTTGTTTTGCGAATTTTTGGTTGGGCCCAAGTGAATCTTTAAAAGTTGGGCTATATAAATTTAATTGATCGATCGATCGGTTGATCGGTCGATTGATTGATTGATCGGTCGATTGATTGATTGGTTGGTTTGCTGGTTGGATGGTTGTTTGATTGATTGATGGTCGTTACTATTATATAATCATCGTAATCACCAAAAACCACGGCAACATCTTCATTATTATTAACTAGAATCAAATTTTCGTTATCAAATAAGTTTTTTCGAACATTTCACCATCATTATTATCATCAGCACATCATCACCACAATCATCATCAACATCATCACAATCATCATCACAATCATCATCATCGTGACAACTGACCAATATGGATGTTACAATCCTAGTCTTGTTAGCAAACGTGTTGTTGCCTTTGAACATTTTCAATTTTTCGGGCGGTTGGATGCTCAGACCTGACTCCGTACTCCAGTGCCCTATCTTTATTATTATTATTATTATTAGTAGTAGTATTATTATTATTAGTATTATTATTATTGCTTTTAAAATAAGAATCGTTAGTGAAAATGAGTAGATGTTTGTTTTTACTACTACTACCTACTACTACTACTACTACTACTACTACTACTACTACTACTACTACTACTACTACTACTACTACTACTACTACTACTACTACTACTACTACTACTACTACTACTACTACTAAAACTACTACTACTACTAATAATAATAATTATCATTATAATTATTATTGTAATAATTTCTATAACTACCTTCGCGAGGCACCTGCTTAAGCTGTTCTCCAGCAAATCGAGTGTGTAGTTGACTCTTAATCCGTTCTCGTCATACTTCACGGGACCCGTTATGCCACCGAACTCAACCTTATTTATTTATAATTAATATAATTAATAATTAATTTATCAATTATTATTATGAGTTATTATTATTTATGTTATTATTTTATTATGTTTATTTTCAAATTAATAAATTATTATTTATTGAAATTTTTTTTTGAAAGTTTCCTTACTGATCGCATCGCCGCCATAATTTCCTTCCCATAGCTAAATGGCTTCAAAAATTAGTAATTAATTTAATTAATTAAGTTAATTAAATAGAATATAATTTAACTTTCAAACTAATCAAAAAGTTAATCTGTTGGTGGCAATCAGTAGGTCAATTATATATCAATCGACCAATCATCCTAAATTCCATTAATTAATGTTCTCAGTCAACCAGTCAATCGATCACATAGCCAACCAATCAATCAATTAACTAAGGTTAGATTCCAACTAGATAGGTTCATCGATTACTTTCTCACTCACTCAACTATTAATCAAACAGCCAGCAATCAAATAATAAATCAATATCAATCAATTAAATGTTTGCCCAACTAAAATCAATCAAACAAATGATCACTCAAGATCAATCAATCAATCGATCAGTTAATCAACCAACCAATCAACTAACTAACAACGACAGGGTTCGAACCGCAGTTGATTGCCTCGCTGGCATTCTTCAGATTTGGATGCTTGTCGAAGAATTTGTTGATCCCGCGGTGTATCGTCTTCAGTGCGTCTACGGCCAGTGCGTGTTCAAACTACGACGATGATGACGTGCTTGTGATTATTTTCATCAGTGCAAATATTCAACAACAGCCCAAGTACCATCGTCGCCACCATCGTTATTATCATTATCTTATCATCACCATCATCAACTCCATCATCAACTCCATCATCAACTCCATCATTATCGTCCTCATCATCATCGTTATGACCTTCATCGGCAGTTTAGCT